GTGATCGATCCTATGAGTGGTTGCCATTGTCTTTTCTTTTTGGATTTTTTTTTGTTGTTGTTAAACTTATTTATTGCATCTAACCTATGTTTTAAATGCTTTTTTTTTGGTAAAAAATGGGATAAATTTGGGATAGTATTTATGTGTTTATCGGTAGTAAAAAAATTTCCAGCATGTATAAAAAAATATTTTTTTTCCAAAAACATAGATATTTTTCCATTTTAAAATGTCGATAAATAAAAAGTAGATATATATATATTAATTGTGTATATGTATTATTCGTAAAATTGGAGGGTGAAAAAGTTTTGAGGTTGAGTTTTCAAAAAATAGATATATTTTGAGACAACATCTTATTTTTTAAAAGTCACATGAATTTTGCCTCTAAAATTTGTAGCGATATATGTGTTTAAAAAATTCTAAAAATGTGCGTAAAAATTAAAATATTTATCATTTTACAAAATCATAATTTTATTGTTATATTTACAAAAATTTAAATATTTGTCATATTTATAAAATCATAATTTTAATGGTCAATGATTCATATAGTAATAAAATTACGGTTGTGAGAATATGACAATTTCTTAAATTTTTTTATTAGGAGCATATCTCTTTTTGATTTTTAGCCAAAAAAATATATTAACTAAATAGTATGCTAATAAAGTTTTTAATTAAAATAACAATAACCAATAATAAATTTTAAATTGTTTTATTGCTATACTATTTATATTATTTGATAGTAAATTTATTTTTTTAATTATTTTAACAATTTCTTTGATATTAACAAATAATAACAAATTAAATTAAATGACCTTATTAAAAAATTAATATAATTTTTATTAGAAGAACCATGATTGATATAATTAAATTTTATTGTTATAATTAGAATCACAAATTATTACTGATATAATTAAATTTTATTGTTAACTACCATCACTAAGAAGATGAAGTTCCAGTTCCGTTCCAGTTCGACCATACAAATTTTAGTACTACAAAAGTAACCACTCTCTGTGTTTGCAATATAATTTTACATTTCTATTTTGTTTAGTACAACATGTGGGGGTGAAAGATCGAACTCACAACCTCTTGGTTGGAGATGGATGTCAGCTAAATTATATTCACTTGAACTCTAAATATTTATTTGATGTTGTAAGATCTCACATTATTTTAAATGATGTTGACATGAGACAGACAATAAATGAAAGTAGCATATCCATACTATTTATTATTATAAATTATTCAATCTCCCCTATACAATCGTTGATAGCAAAGCATAGTTGGAACTACTTTCTACATCGGTAACTTTTAACAAATATCAAAATATTTTTATTCAATGAATAAGATACTAATTCTCCTTAAAAAAAAGAGAGAGAGATTCTAATTCTCCAGTATGAACATATTTTAGTGACCTAAATATCAACTACCATCACAAAGAAGGAGTTGGATCATAAAAATCGTTATTACCACACGACTCAAAAGTAACTAATCTCGATATAATTTTAAATTTATAGATATTTCTTTAATATTGTAACATCTCACGTTATTTTACAATAAATGGGACAATCCATATTAATTATTATAAATTTTTCAATCCCACCTGTAAAATTGTTGAACTAAATGATACTAATTCTACTATTTATTTAAATTAAAAGTTGGATTTCATAGTGCTCAACTAGTTCACTTTGGTAAGTTTTCTTTAAAGCCAGGGTCCAAATCTCTACCACTTGTAAATTTGTAATATTCTATATGGAAAAGCGAAAAAAAAATCGATTTGATAAAACAAAAAGTATTAAATTGAACTAATTATATGATTAAAAGATAATTATTTTTTATTTTATTTTATTAAGAACGGGAGGAAGGACTTTGGGAGGCGCAATGGACCGTCCATTCGTTTCTTCTTTTTATTTATTTTTTGAAAGACGAACCGTCCATTCCTGTGTCGTGAATCCCACGGAGATCTTTCTTCTTTTTCCTTTTTTATTACAGAACGGAGATTTTTTTTTACCGTCCATCGTCTTAATTGCTATTTCCAATGTCTGACGTGTATATATTAACGGCTAAGATTATTTGAGAATTTTTATTAATTAATATTCATCTCGTTTTATTTCAATTTCTACCAAAATCAGAAACAAAATTGAGGTAAGTTGAATTCATTTATTCGAAAAAAATTTTGGCACTACGGGAGTACGTAGTTATTCTATTTATTTATATTATAATTTTTTATTTATAAATAATTTTCTTAATGTTGGTAGACCCGCTTCATTTYTAAATAATGCTAACCTAATCTACAATAAAAAGCAGTAGCATCTATATTATAGGAAATTTTTCTATAATTTATTTTCTCTTTTAACATTTATCTCTATTCTCTTGTCTTAGATCGTGGTGTCTAAATTTTGACTCCTCTAACTTTTCTATCTCCTTATCACTAATCTTTCTCTCTCTAATATATTCCTCACTTTCTAGTTTCTCTCTTTCCAACAATTTTGTGTGACTAATTTTTGTTTCTGACATATTTTTTATTATTCTTTTTAACTTTTATCATCCTCAAAATTTCTATCTAAAAAACTTCGTATTTATTAATAAAGGATTCTAGACGAATGACACGTCTACGTAATTAGGACATATGCCTTTTATTTTTTTTTGAAATTCAGACAAAAAGGTGTAAATGATTGATTCACCCGTGTAAGTGTATGGTTCTACTTGACACAATTCACATTAATTTAAGGTAAATTAATTCAACCAACAAAACTTAGAATAAATGGATCTTTTTTCCAAATAAATATCATGATTTTTTTTAGTACAACATATGAGGATGGGGGATCGAACTCACAACCTCTAGATTAGAGATATATGTCAATACCACTAAGCTATGTTCGCTTTGATAAATAAATATTATGATTACGAAGATAATATAAGCTAAAAGCATATTTGAAGTTTCTATCTGTGAATTATACCATTTTAATCCCTATACAAAATGGCTTCAAATTAGACTTTATATAATATAATTTTCAGCAAGGTTATGTATAGTCATTGTATATGTCAATTTTGCTTTTATTGATATTAGCATCTATATGTGACACCACATATTGTCAGGTCAACTTGCTAAGAGTCCCAACGGTATTGATTATTTATTGACAAATAAATGATAGAGATTTATAAAGAGGTTATTACCAATCTATAATGATCAAAATAAAACAGTTAAAAAGTATACAATATTATGAAAAAGAGACATGAAAGTAGTAAAATGTATATACTATATAATTTATTTTCATAAAAATTAGTATATGATACCATATATACAATAAATAAATAAATAAGTAGTTAGGTTGGTTTAGTTGAACCCAAACTTATTTTAGATAACTAATTGAATCAACCAAACTCAAAGAGTTTTCATTTATTTGAACACAAATCAATATAAACTCACCATTTGAGTTGTATTGATCGATTTTTTCGGATAATCGAGTTTTTTAAATACTTTTAATTCAATGTTTAAAATTTGTTAAATTATAAAATAAACAACTATCTCACAAATTTACTTTGTGAATTTCGTTCGTGATAAATATAAAGATAATTGTGGATCGATAAAACACCTAAATATTATTCAAAATTTAAAATATTGGTGGCAGTGCATCTCCTCCAAAGAAAGATATTTCCGCTGAAGGACAAAGCAGGGAATATAAGTTGGTGAATGATGAAACACAATTTGCAACCGTCCACGTGACATCATGCTAGCTGATGACGTGGACAAAGGGAGGGATATTCCCGTGCGATGCAGCTTCAAAAGGTACTGATGAATGCTCACAGGTCAATAATTGGAAATCTGATGCGCATAAGATCACATGGCCAATCAATTTTGAGGTGAAGTAAAAGCCATTCAATTCGGCGTCGTTTCGCTAAATTCCCACGTGCTTCGAGTCAATTAAAGGGGCCATTCTTGTCCGTATAAATTTACACCTCAGTTTTCATCGTTGTTCTCTTTTAATTTTCTGGCAGCTTCTTAATGACTATTTCTCGATTTTTTTAACGGAATATATTTTTGGTCCTCTATTTAGTATTTACAATTTTAAAATCAACACCTTTAATCCCTTTAATAGACAAGGTTCGGAAAAATGCCTGTTTGATTTCTAAATTATTTCTGGCAGCTTTTTATTTTTTTGATTTAATTAATATTATTTTTATAAAAAAAATTATTTTTGTGTAGCTTATAAATAGTAGATCCTCCTGCAAGTTCATAATAACATTAATGGAATAATTATGTTAAAATAAAATTGAATTTGAAATGTTGAAATTCATATTTAATTTACATAAAAGCATTAAATAGTAAAATAGATTTGATACATTAAAAGAAAAATAAATATATTTTTATTAGAATATAATAATATAACATTTTCATATGTGATATTAAATTTTATTTTTTGACAATAATAATAATAAAGAATATAGTTTTTAGATTAAAATATGAGTTGAATCAGTTCACAAACCTTCCATTTTAATAAGAGAAATAAAAATTTTCCACTTAACCTATTTTTTGTCTAAAGAAATTTAAATTTGCTAATGTTAATGTATTCACAATATGAGAAACATACATCTTAGATTTGATCCACTAGATAAATGTATTAAAGGGGAAATAGTGTTCCAAAGTGTCAAACCTTGGTGCCAACTATATGCCTACGTTAATAATTAATTTTTAGAATTTACTTTATCAAATAAATAAATTCTACCATAGTTATTATTCCTATTAATTACACACAACTATACTCTGCAATATTAATATCTCTATTAATTACATACAACTATAGTAATAGTATATTTCTCTTATATCCAATTGGCAAAGTTTTTTTTTAAAAAAAAAAAACTTAATTCGTTTTTTGTGGAATTTCATATATCATCGTTCCCTTAAAATATTAAAAAATAAAAAAGGAACTATAACATCAAATCATGATACATCGTCCAAATACAAAGGCCAAAAATAAAACAATTTGAAAACAAAAACACAGACCAAGTATGGGATCGGTAATGAGAGTTGAATAAATGGAGAAAAAGAATTTTCTGCACATTTTCTGGAATGTATACCGTGAATATTACAAAACGAATAGGAGATATGAACCTAAAAAAGAAAAAGAAAAAGAAAAAAACCCAATTCAATGGGGACCTGTAGGAGCAAATGTTGTCCAATGTCCATAGCCTAATTCTAAAAAATGACACTATATTATGGTATCAGATGAATAACAGAAGAAGTACTAACAAAAATTTAAAGCAACTGGTGGCAAAAATGCTGTCCTAGACCTTCTTCTATGCACCTCTAATGGCATGACAGCATACGCATCAAATCAAACTCTTTTCTTTCCTATATATCCTCTCTCTGTGCCCCTGCAGGAAGATGAATAACAGTATCCTTTCGCAGATCGAAAATTTTTTTAAAAAGGAAGGAAGAATTTCTATTGCTACATACTCAAAGAATGAATCCGGTACGGGACGAATGCCCATCATCATCGATGCCGCACCGATTGGGGCGAGTTCTATTGCTCTCATTGCCTTGCCTTCTGCTGAGCTTTCAAAATGTTGTGTTCAGTTCATATCATTTTGAAACTTTTTTGTTTTCTAATTGGTTTATCTGTTCTGTTCCTTTAGCTGTCTCTCTGTTAGTAACTATGATTCCACGATGTGACAGTTTCTTATAAAATCATTGGAGTAGTTGACATACTTGGTCCAGAAGGGACGGAGATGCTCGAAGCCGATCTCCAACCACGGTTTTAGCTGCCCATTGTAGTGGATAACTGCGGCATTCTTCACGTTCTCGACACTAGTCCGTTCCTGATAACCCAAGCCAAGCATGTGCCATGAAGGATCAATTGGATGAACTTGACCTCTAAATGCAATCAAAGCAGGGGGTAGGGTACCCAGCTTCCACATTGTCAGATTTGACCTCAAATTCTGCAACACAAAACTCAATCATCAAAACAAACGGATAAGATGCATCTTGGACATCATAGTAAAAATTCGATGGGATCAGCATTTTATCACTCATCATAGTATAATTTACAAAAATTGTAAGACATCCTCCATCTTCGCCTAGTTTACCAAAACCAAATTTACAAGAATGAATTATAAGCACGACATCAAAAAATGAAGATATAAATTATGACAACTTCCTAATTTTAATTTCTTTCTTATCATCTTTAAAGTAAAATTCATACCACAATTACCTTTCTCAACCATGAGTGGTATATTTCCCTTATATTTGTCCTTCTCCAAGCATGAAGGTCAAAAACGTTCATCCCATAGGCCCAGGCACATTCATCAGGATTTAAATGCTTTGCTATAATTGGATGGGAAAAATTAAAGTAGTTGCGGAACCGCTTTGACATTACCCACTCATCATCACCTTTGCAAGTTTCCACAGCTCCATTTACCTTTCCTTCAAGGTCAATATCCCACAGGGGAGACAAATCACGCTGAATCACAACATCATCATCTAAGAAGACCACCTTGTCAAGGTTTGGGAAGAGCTGTGCAATTTACATCAAGTTATGTAAAGTAAGAAATGAATCTACAAATAACCTAAATATGCTTGCATTTTTTTTCAATTAACAGAGTACATAGAAGATAAAACTAAAGTCAGTTGAACAAATTCATGGTACAATATTACTAATCGTCATGGCATAACAAATAGGATGAAGCGATCAAGAATACAGATCCAAACTCTCGACCCCTTGAAAACTTATCTTACAAATTGAGTCTGAAGCAATCGAAAAACAGAAGATTTTTTTTTTCACCAAATTCTAGTCAATTTGACCAAACATGTTGAAAAACAAGGAATGGATAAGTATTGCAACAAGTCTAATTACCTCTGGTAAATAAATGCGAAGATGGTTGAGTAAGGATATGTATTTTGGACTTCTAGCCTGCAATTTCGAAGCAAATATCCGTGGAGTTGTATCACTGAGATTTGCACCAACAATATGGTTCCCATGGTAGTAACTTCGTATCCCATTCTGGTTTTCTACAGCTTCGAGCACTGGGATGTTTTCTCTTGTTAACCAGTCAAACTGATGCACGCCTTTGACTTCAACAATTGCAGGTGCGATAGAATTTAGTGCAAACCATGAGTGCATACCAGAGTAAGTCTTCTTGTCAGTAATGACATGAAATACTATCTTTTCAGGTCTGAGAGAAGACTGCACAGCAGAATTGACTACAACAGAAGCAGCCAAAATGTTGTCGGTTGACAGAATAAAGTGGTGATAAGAGTTATCTGAGAGTAAAGGAAGCAACTCTGGAGGAGGCAACTGTTTGCGAGCATGAGCATTGGACGAATATTCATCGGTTAAACGGAGAGACAGGCAGTGGATGCCTTTTGGAATGGAACTAGCCGCAAAGTGCTTGTGCATCAACTCTGCAAACTTGGATTCCCTAATGTCCTTTTCAAATTTCTCCATCTATGAAGGAAAAAAAGCATTACATTAGATTACACTGCATAATAAGGGTGTTTATAGTGTCAATCAGATATCAGAAGCTGAAATATGCCCAAAACCAAAAATGAGATGATACCAAATTTATTGGTTTCTTATGTAAAATTCAGAACCTTATCCATTAAAATTACAATTACTCTTTTATTAATCTAAAAAAAATTAAAATTAAAATACAGGGAAAAAACATTAAAATAAGAGAAATTGAACAAATAAAAATCAACATGGATAAATTAGAAAAGAATGATTTAGAGAATGTACGACTAATAAACTCTTCAAGTCAAATAACACCAAGCTTTAACTTATTATTTCCTATTTAGTTCCCTGTGTTCGTATGACCCTTGAATTTCTGGATATTCATAATTCAAAGTGGAAAGTTTGTTTCTCATCCCCAAAGAATTTGAAAGCTGGTGCTTGCAACCTTTAAAAGGACATAGCAGATTTTCTTTTCCTTTTTCTCTTTTAGAAGGAACTGAGAAGGAACCCATTAAATTGATTATAGGATATAAAGAATAAAATCTTATATGTGCACTCATCACTCGTGGAATGAGAAGTAGGCAACGAAAGTCAGGCAATCAAAGTTCTACGAACATTCATTACAAAAACTTAAAGTTTATACAGCAGAGATGTGGAAAGGAATATAGCTGGAAGAAACAAGAATGAGAATTATACAGTAAATGAGAACGGATGCACAAATGTTCATGCAAAGACATTGAATACACGCAATTTTCCAGTTTCAGGCAATAAATACACATTATAATTCTGACAAACCATATATATACAAATAAGATTTAAACATGGTAGGAAAGATAGAAAAAACCAGGAGTTAGATGTAATGGGTATTACGTTCATCGCTGCATTTAGATTGATCCATATCCATGCGTAAAAAACAAATTCATGGAACCATGTCCGATCGACTTGTTAGCTTTTAGCCAGTTTACTTAATCCTACAAACCAAAGAACCAAGGACACAAACATAGACACATGACACAAAAATGGCAACATGTCAATGTCTAAAAAAGGACACAACACGCTCGAGACATATTAGTTCTTTCTTCTAAAAGTAAACGTGTGTGTAAATATCTCGACATAGTTTAAATATGTAACACTTTAACAGTAAATTTGATATCTAAGTTTAAACATAAAAAGAGAATACAACACATGGAGAAAAGGCAAGAAAAAACCAACAATATTTGGCCAACCCAAAGAAATGAGCCACTAGGCACCAAGAAACTAAAATATTTTTCCACAATTTCCAAAATATCATTCCTAATAGTTTACAGTTTTTCCCGGGTAATATATCATTGTCTGACCACCATTATTGTCTCTTTGATAATGTTTAAACAAGTTAGAGGTTACAATATGCTACTGTTTATTCCTACAAGTGCCAAAATTTCAGCATCGTAGCAAGTTTTTCACAATACAACATTCAAAATTTCTATATATACATACTATGAAATTTTTTTATTTCAGATCCATGTGAGCTAGATGTTGATGTAATATAAGAAATACGTAACTAAGAAGTATCCAATGCATTTACAATAATATAATCTGACTTCAAAAGGTATCCATTCTGCATAGCCTTAGACAAGAAACCTCAATACTACCAAAGCTACCTCTTATCAGCTTATAACATCCCAATAACATCATATTATAAGGATAATAAAACTATCCACAGATCTAAAATGAGGCAGAGAAGACAGAATTCTACTCTGTTGCCAACCCTAAATAACAAGAAATGTTGCAATAAAAAAACTTTTTCCCACAAAATGTGTATGAATCCATAGAACAATACATACCATTGCCTTTAACATCAATGCAAAGGTCCTTGCATCATAATGGTTACCCTCCATTTCTGAAACTAATTGAGTGAAAGAATCTGGCAGCTTTAGTCCATCGGGTATTTCTTCAGTTTTAACTTGATTGAGGACCTTGTAAAAGTCACTGACTAGTCTCTGAAGCAACATTACCACCATGACCAATAGGAAAGAGCTCAAGTTAATAACATATGCAACTGACTTAAGCATACTATAAAATTCAAAACAACGTTATGACTTATGATCACATGTGAAAGGAGTTATTTACCCCTGAACCGTCAACCCTACCAAGAAGCCGTGGTCCCAACCGCCTGCCTAAACAATCTGAAACAGAATAAAGAAAAACATGAATATGAACCGTCTGCCTACTTTTAATTATACAATATCAATTGTCTAGAAAATGAAAATATTAACAAACAGCACAAGCAGACCAGATGTACAAAGAATAACAAGCATTTCAGCGGGAAGAGGAAAATAGAGAAGAAGATGCTTCTTTAGGTACCAAATAAATTCCACGAATGGCTAAATTACGTTTCAATTGAACTTAGCACCAGATCAATGAAATTGAGATTTTCAATTTTCCAGCGCATTATTTTTCATTTAAAAACAGGGGGGAAAAGAGGCATAGTAAATCAAGAAAACGAATCTTGGAGGCAAGAATTCTAATCCAACAAAGTTAAACGTCATAGAGTCCTGATCTAGAGTGCCGACATTAAAATGATCTAATCAAAATAAAATAATACGAAAAACGAAGAACTATCATAAATTTGCCGAAATGGAAAAATCAAATCCCTATCCAATAATGAAATCACGTAACGCTTGAAAACCATCTGACAAGCAATTCGTAAGATCAGCTACACAGATTAACAACGTAGAAAGTTGATAAAAAACATTGAGAACATGAAGAGAAATGGTTAAACGTAGAGTACCAAACGAGGAGCACTTATTGACGCCTTCGAGGGTAACGACGGCAGTGAGGATAAAGACAAAAGGCAAGAGAAATGCGAGGAGGAGGAAGGTGTGGAAAATGGTCCGGTAAGAGATATGGCGAGCTGCAACCTTGATCTTCATGAAATCAATAAAGCCATTATTGGTCGAGATCGTGATGCTTCTCATGCTAGGCGAGAAGTGAAGCTGCATCATCCTCTATGCAGCTTCCTTCAGGTAGTCATCGTCGGCCACGACAACACGACAACAACAGCAACCCTAGCACAGCTTCCCCACCATCCCTACCACCATCCATGGCGGACAAATACCACCATGAAATCTAAACCCGCATCTACCAAACACACAATGACTTTCAGATTGAGATCAAGAAACAAAAAGATTAAAAAAAACAGAAGAGATAAAAATCCCTCCCGAGATTGCCTTGAATCCAAATGCGTCGCCCAGGCAAAACTCGATCAAGAATTCCGAATCGGAGTTCGTATCAATCAATGGAGAATTTGTTGGATTGGCCCGGTAATTGGCTCCTGCGGATCAGAAACTTGGAAGAAGCGCGTAGAGAGAGAGAGAGAGAAGGCGAGGGGAAGAGAGAGAAAATCTTCGTTGGTGTAATGGTGGTTTTGGAGTGAGTTTGGTTTCCAAGATTGTAAAAACGTCTCCCCATTGGCGGATCGCTCCGATCTAATTTTTTCTTTTTTTTCTTCTTTTTTCGTTTCGCTATAAAATTTCAGGAAAAAAAGGGAAATTAAAAAATTGAAAAATTGAAGGGAAAAAATGGTTATAAATAGTTTTTCTTTTTTGTAGTCAAATTTAAAACCGTGTTGATTTGTAGAGAGAGGAGAGAGAAAATCGTGGGGATTAAAGTTTGACCTTAGGGATTTGTAGGCATTGGTATGGTAGAGAGGGAAACATGGGGGGAGAAGTAGGGATAAGTGGATGCTAATTTTTTCAATTAATTAAATTTAAAATATACCCTTATATTTTCATTTTTAATTAATTAATATATCTTATCTTTTTTATTTTTTATTTTAATTTTAATTTTTTTTTGAGTTCTTAATGTGGGGGACAGGTTTATATTAGAGCTTTTAGTCCAAGAATTATGTTATTAAATTCGGTCGACCTATTGACATTTTACAAAAGAAAACTAATATCCTTTTTAATAATAAAAACATAAAAAAATATTTTTAAAGTAGACGGACTAAAATCAACCAAAGTTAAAAGTAATAACTAAAATAAATATTTTGGAGATATAAGAATCAAAATAAACCAAAACCACAAACATGAAGAACAAAGTAGTATTTAAACTATTTTTTATATTTATTTAAATTTGAGTTTGATTTAAATTTTATTATTTGTTGTTACGTTTAAAATACATATTTATTTTCTTTTATATAAATATCTTTCAGTTCTTGAATTTTGGCATACACAAACTTTTGTTTATTTATTTTATCCATATGTATCTATAGGGATAAACTGCTATAGATTTTTTAACAAACAAAAATCATAGACGAGTTGAGATATACATTAGCTTACCAGAAAACCATATCCTTGTTTAAAGTAACTCAATTTATACGAATATGTTAACTCTTATTTGAAGTTTGTTAGTAAAATTGGAGTCACATGTGAAGGCTACTATTCTATATTTTATTTTACAAAAGAAACGATAAAAAATGTCATATTATTTYGACTTGTTTATCTCTATAAATTAATGTAAAAAATCCTAAACTTATATCATATATTAAGTTTTTTTTTTCTTTTTAGTACAGTTTGTGAGGGTTGGAGATCGAACTCATAATTTTTTTCTAGAGACACATACAAATTACCGTTGAGTTATGTTCGCTTTGACATATCATATATATATATGTTAAGTTTTGTTAGAAGTTTGTTAGTTTAATCGAGAATGCACCACCATAAACTTAGCTCAGAGATAATTGACATCAGTATTTCACTAACGACATGATTTCGAATATCTCACCTTATATTAAAAGAAAAAGTTTGAAGATGCACATGCAAAGATTATTTTTTATATTTTATTTCATAGAAGAAGAAAAATGTCAAATACACCTTTTAACATTTTTTCATTAAAAATAAAGATACAGAAAAAAGAAATTTGGACGTTACCAAACGGGCCCTAAATTTCCATCCATATGTTAACATTTCTATCGACATTTCTATGTGTCCATGCCTTCGACATGAGAAATAAATTGACATTTTCATAGTATTGTAAAAAAAAAAACCGAAAAGATATTAAAAAATATCAATAAAACATTCCTAATTTAGATGTAATATTAATGTTAATAGTTTGAGGTTATTTAAAATATTTATTCGTTATTTTCATAATTTTAACATCCATATTTTCACGAATTTGAGACCGAACTTGTGATATTGCGGTCGTAATGCCCATCGCTGTGCTGTCATAAAAAAATAAGAAGAGAGAAGAAAAGGAATCCTAAATCATATTTATCTTAATTTGGGCCATATTTTAGTCGCGGAGCCCGGCCTCTGTCGTGCTCTTACATTCATATCCATATACTTCGCCACGTGGCCGATTCTCGAAACGAAGGCGTAATATTTTATTTTATTTTTTTCTGCAAAAATAAGGCGCAATATTTGCCATTCTCGGATCTTCGAACTGCGATTACAGTACAGTACGTTTTCGCGATACTTCCCGAAGGGACAGCACAGTCCCTTCTTCGCTTCCTACTTATAAAATCCCTGAATTCACTTCTCCGTTTGTAATCCAAAAGCAAAACTATCCGATTCCGATTCCGATTCCGATTCAGATTTCATCTCCGTCCCCGGCGAGACTGTCAGCGGAGAGGCTACTTTTTAGCAATGGCCTCCACCACTGCGCCGTTTTACGGAATTGGTCTTCGTTTTCCTTCGCATTCCAGTAGAAGCGCTCTCATTGTGAGGCCGCCGCTTGCGGTTTCCGTCCCTGCTAGACCTAAATCCATCGAAGCCTTCAGACCCTTGCTGTTGAGGAGGAATGGTGGGTTCCAGAGATTTGGGAGGAATTCGAGGCTTGTTGTGCGCTGTGATGCCTCTAGTGGAAGGGTCAGTTGTTTCCCTGATTATAGTTGGTTTATTTGTAGTAGTGATTTTTAAGTTTGATTTAATTCTCAGTGACTTCATAATTAGTTCAAACTTCTACCGACGCGTAATTCCTGAAGTAATTCTTCTCTTTACTGATTCCGTTTAGTTTTGCGACAGATCACGCAGCAAGAATTTACAGATATGGCTTGGCAAGCTATTGTTTCTTCTCCAGAAATAGCAAAGGAAAACAAGCATCAAATTGTGGAGACTGAACATTTGATGAAGACCTTACTGGAGCAGAAAAATGGGCTGGCTCGTCGGATATTTTCTAAGATTGGGGTTGACAACACTCGGCTTTTGGAGGCTACTGATAAATTCATCAAACGTCAACCAAAGGTAATTGAACCATGGAGTCAATTCTTATGTGTATATATTAGTCTTGGAGTTTACACATGTCCACAAACTTCAAACTTTTGGTCGAGATTTGCCATATGAATTTTAGTTTCTATATCCTAAAATATCTTGTGCCACAGTCGTTGGTGTTTTACACGAGTCTTTATTTACTGCACTAGGTTCTTGGCGAGTCAGCTGGTTCAATGTTGGGACGTGACTTGGAAGCACTGGTCCAGCGAGCCAGAGAATTCAAGAAAGAGTATGGGGACTCATTTGTGTCTGTGGAGCACTTGGTTCTTGGATTCGTTCAAGATCAACGCTTTGGGAAGCAATTGTTTAAAGATTTTCAAATATCTTTACAAACTTTGAAATCTGCAATAGAGTCCATTAGGGGGCGCCAATCTGTTATTGACCAAGGTGACACCTCTTATTTTTTTTAAAACTTCTTTTGAATACTTTTATGTGGTTGTGTTGTGCACATGTCGAATATCTTGGCTATTTGTTGGACCCGATGTTAGCCACAATAATATGCTAGAAGGAAATTTTCGGAAAATTGGCTGATGATTTCGAGCATAGTAAGCAATTAGTAAAGGAGAACTGATTGAAAYTAGGGACCAGTTTTCAACCAGAAATTAACATTCCAGTATAGCTTGTTCCTTTTGGTTGGCAGTTGGCACATACTTTTATGCGGTTGTTGTTGTTCTTTTTGTCTTGTTGGAATGCATACAGTGAGAACTTAGACAACATATGTTTTACTAATGGTGTACTCATTCATAAAAAGGTTCCATAGATGCCCAGTTTCTCTCTGTTACCTGCCAGTATATCGGGAGCTTGTGCTGTTTATTGTGTGTATATTCAATTCTTAAGTAATCGTGGTTTCTTGCAGATCCTGAAGGCAAGTATGAATCACTAGAAAAATATGGAAAAGATCTGACAGCATTGGCTAAAGCTGGGAAGCTTGACCCTGTAATTGGAAGAGATGATGAGATCAGAAGGTGTATTCAGATTTTATCTAGAAGAACAAAGAACAATCCTGTGCTTATTGGTGAACCTGGTGTCGGGAAAACTGCTATTTCTGAAGGGTAAGTGCATTGTTTGGCATTGTACAGGATTTCTTTTAAATAAATAAGGCCGTGTAAAAGTCCCAGCCTGACTTTTGTATATTAACTATGTTGGTTACATTTCCAGTCTTGTTAACTACCCATACTTAAAAAAAAAAAAAAATAATAATAAAAAAAAGACTCCTATGGTTGTTTTCTGACTAACCAGTAAGCATTTGGTCCTTTGGGAATATTAACTGCATGAGACAATGACTGAGTAGTTAGCATTAATTGTCATTGGAATTTAGAATGTAATGAAAGGAAATTCAAGTATTAGTATCATTGAGAAGATTGAACATCTTGGCTTATGGCGAATTTGATGCTGTGCTGGCTTAATTTTCTACTCATAGAATTTTTGCGAGCAGATGCTTTTGACTTGGAGAGTGGTTTTGACTTGGTTACTTATTTATCTTATTTGTTGTCATCTCATATAAACAGGCTCGCTCAAAGAATTGTTCAAGGTGATGTACCTCAAGCTTTGATGAATAGGCGGGTATGTAAATGACATTTTCCTGCTCGCTCTCTCTCTGGCTCTGTCTCACATATTTTTTTCCTGATATGAAAGGAAGCTGGTGTTTCACTTTTGGTTTTGTGATTACTTTTGTTCCCCCATCCCCTTTCCTCCCAGGGAGGTGTTTTAGGATTCACAAGTCAGCACAATCTTCATAACTTACTCATTTCTTGCAGCTAATATCTCTTGATATGGGTGCTCTAATTGCTGGAGCAAAATATCGTGGAGAATTTGAGGATAGGCTCAAGGCTGTTCTGAAGGAAGTTACAGAATCAGATGGCCAGATTATCTTGTTCATTGATGAAATTCACACGGTAGTTGGAGCAGGTAGCATATCCGAACTTACATTCAGAAAATTGTAGCCTATTACTATCAATCACGTGTTGTTGGTGGTTGTTTCTCAATAACAATATGATGGAAACTCTTGTTTGACTGATGAGCTAATGGATTGGATTCTTACCTTAATAAGCTGCTGCTGATGTCTCTTTAGGTGCTACAAATGGTGCTATGGATGCGGGCAATCTATTGAAGCCCATGCTTGGTAGGGGTGAGCTGCGGTGTATTGGTGCCACAACATTGGATGAATATCGGAAGTATATCGAAAAGGATCCAGCATTGGAGCGTCGATTCCAGCAGGTTTATGTTGACCAGCCAACTGTGGAAGATACAATTTCTATCCTCCGTGGGCTTCGTGAAAGATATGAGCTGCATCACGGAGTTCGCATATCTGACAGTGCTCTTGTGGAAGCTGCTATTTTATCAGACCGTTATATAAGCGGACGGTTTCTACCTGACAAAGGTAAATATCCTTATGAGGAATGGAATGACTGATTTGGTTGATGGATTTTTTGCTAAATTATCATGGTAATTTCAAAATACAGCCATTGACCTCGTTGATGAAGCTGCTGCTAAGCTGAAAATGGAAATCACGTCGAAACCTACTGCTCTTGATGAGATCAATAGAGCAGTGCTGAAGCTCGAGATGGAGAGACTTTCTCTTACAAACGATACTGACAAAGCTTCTAGAGATAGGCTGAGTCGCCTCGAAGCTGAGTTGTCTCTTTTAAAGGAGAAGCAAGCCCAGCTGACTGAGCAGTGGGAGCACGAAAAGTCCGTCATGACTCGCCTTCAGTCGATCAAAGAGGAGGTATGTTGGTCATTACCTTTCGTGTTACAGACTTTTTAACACATTCAACCTATAATTTAGTCTTGTGATGGTTGGTTGGAAGACAACAATTTTCATGGTTCAAGAACAGAGTAGGAAGTAAATGCTTTAGGTTCTAGGAAATATACAATCTGGCATGAACTGACTACCATCCTGTGGAGCTGTTCTATTCGGATTATCATCTGCTCAGTAATTTTACGTTCATTCTTGCAGATCGATCGGGTAAATTTGGAGATCCAGCAAGCTGAAAGGGAGTACGATCTTAATCGTGCGGCTGAATTGAAGTATGGAAGCTTAAACTCATTGCAGCGCCAGCTTGCAGACGCAGAAAAGGAGTTAGATGAGTACATGAATTCTGGAAAGTCCATGTTGAGAGAGGAAGTGACTGGAAGTGATATTGCTGAAATTGTTAGCAAGTGGACCGGGATCCCAGTATCCAAGCTTCAACAATCCGAGAGGGAGAAGCTTCTACATTTGGAGGAAGAACTCCATAAACGTGTTGTGGGTCAAGACCCTGCAGTTAAATCGGTTGCTGATGCTATTCAAAGATCTCGAGCTGGCCTCTCGGATCCAAACCGTCCGATCGCTAGTTTCATGTTCATGGGCCCGACCGGTGTTGGAAAAACAGAACTAGCCAAGGCCCTTGCATCCTATTTATTCAACACAGAAGAGGCCCTTGTGCGAATCGATATGAGCGAGTACATGGAAAAGCACGCCGTCTCGAGGCTGATTGGAGCCCCACCTGGTTATGTAGGTTATGAGGAGGGTGGACAGTTAACAGAGACTGTTCGTAGAAGGCCTTACGCAGTTATTCTATTTGACGAGATTGAGAAGGCTCATTCTGATGTGTTCAATGTGTTCCTTCAAATTTTG